AATGAAAACATTATTAAAATCAATTAATCCTTTTCTGAGATTAGCGTACACAAACTTACAGACAAAACGACCAAATCACCGACTATCAGTTATCTGATCTGAGAATAAAAAATATGACTACTTATGTAGTCATATTTTTTATTGTCTATGTATAGACAACAATCAGTTACTTGTTTATTTTATGTGTGGTTCTAATAGGTTATAAGTTAGTATTAAATGCATTATTTAAATCGTTTCTGGCAGGTTTGCGATTACACAGCGTACAGCAATTGCTTTGAGTTCTCAAGAGATACAAGTAATGTATGCTCATGGGATGTAACCTGAAATATAAGATCGTGAGAGATATAACACTGAATATTACTGTAGAGGTTATTTAAATATGTATATTTTGATATCTGAATATGCGAATAACTCTTCTGCAGCAATACTTTACAACCTTATGTTCTTAAGGAGGTGAAGTTTTTTAAATATGTATTATATATAAACCTAATTCAAGTTTGAAACTGTTGCATTATTTATAAAGTGAGGAGAGAATTGTTGTGTCTGTTCAGTATGAACCTTTCATAGGTTAAAGCACACTGACTGACACGAAGCATATGAAAAATATATAAATGTTAATGTCATAAGAAAGAATCCAAAGACAGTGTCAGAATGTCAGATCCCTCACTAGTATATAACAAACGATATTTTACTGTCTTGTGATACAAATAGTTACATAATTAAAAGGAGATTAGTATAATACTACTTACAGAACATTTCGGGGTCCTTTAAATGTGAAATTCTTTTACCTCGTTGTATTTTATATTAACTATTTCAATTGTATTAATCGTAATTCATGATCATTAACATATGTTACACAATTATTTGATTAACTATAAAGAGCTTAAATCCTTCCAATACAAACCGCATGGGATCCGAGCGGCCCGACACGCACAAGACGTTGATGAATAGAGCACAATTCGATTAATCCTCAATTCCCGTTCGTGCGTACAACAATAACGCCCGCCTAAATACATTTCCGTGTACGCGTTATTTCGCATAAGCTGAATTATGTCAACGATATGGTTTGTATCAGATATTAATTACAACTTTGAAATACAGAACTAGACACGAGAACTTAATCGACTAACTTGTTTTCTGATTCTTAACAGACTGTCTTTTTAAAACATTGAGTAATGTTTTATAATACTTTCTGGAATGCGAATACTTGAGCGCAAAACGAAAAGCTTTTTTAAATAAAGAAATAAGCGAAAACTGTGTAGGTGTTACAAAAGAAACAATTTGCAATTTTCAGCTGTACTGTGATAAAAAAAATATTCTATTTACTTTAAGGGTTGTAATACTTTTAGACATATCGAAACAAAAGTAAAAATGTAAGTAAAGAATGAAGAAAACATTTATACACTCATATCCATCAAAAGTAATCCTCCACTTTGTGTGGTTTCGTCTGTCTATCCGTCCAATACCGCGAGATATTGAAAACGAGGTCAGGCCCTTTTTCAGGGCCCGTCAATATTTTATTTGTTACGGCTCACTTACAATTTGATAGAAGAGCGGAGAAGGGAACTCTAACTAAAATTGGCCAAGTGTAATGGATAGCTTACCCCATAAAAAAGTAAAAACATTAAAAAGTAAGTGGCTAAAGTATTATTTTATATTATAACAGACTCTTATTCTGATCCTTCCCGTAATACCATAAAAATATTGCTAACTACAGAGTATAACAACCCAAAAACCTTAATATAAAGTATCTGTTTCAATTCCATTTTGCTTATGAAAAGGTATTCCATATCATCTATTATAATTAACATGTGAATTCTAAAATATCAATACATTTGCCGACACATACCTAAACGATGTGTGTAGTGTCTCTTTCATTCTGTTTGAAATAAAAAGAGGTAGCAATATTAAAATTAATACGTGTTTCGGCAGTGGAATTTCACGGTTGAACTGTAAACTGAACGGGAGTAAATAGAGTGATATAAATTTTATTGGCCATTTAATGAATGAGAGTGTAAAAGCTTGCTTGCTGACTATCAGTTACTGTGAATGCAATTTATTTCAATCAGGGCGTAACGATGTGTAACATTCAAATTGTCGCTACAATAAAAAGCCGCTGTTTTGCATTTCGGGTTAACTAGCGATTGCACATAATTTTGTGTTGGTTTTCAAAAAAAGTTTGGTTATTTTTGTTAATTTCATTGTTAAGTTATAAAGCCTAAACTGGTTGAACAATAAAGGGGTTTAAAAAGTGTGGGATATAATGATTCTGATTGTTTAGGGTTCCGTACCTCGAAAGGAAAAACGGAACCCTTATAGGATCATTTTGTTGTCCCTCCGTCTCTCTGTCAAGATCCTTTTGGTCAGGAACGCGAGAAGGTATCGAGTTGGAATAATAATAATAAAAATCGTTTATTTAGGCAACAAAAGTATGATTTAATTACAAAGTATAATAGTAAGTACGCCTGGTTTCTAAACTAGGTTCTAGACCCGAATTATAGCAGTCAGGACTCTTTCGTGTTAGTGCTAAAGTTTAAGTAAAAGGTTAGTAACATTGTGAAATTGCTTGCCTTACTTAAGAATTACAATAAAAAAGTAATTTACAATTAAAATAGCTTAATATATGTGCATGTAAATATTTGTGCGTGTTTTTGTATTTGTTCATTTATTTTATTATTAACCACTAGTAATAAAACGATATTACAATGATAATTACAATGTAAAATTCGTACTTAATAATTGTTTAGGAATATTCAAAGTCGGGCATTATAAGATCGCCATGAAACGTTTGATCGTAAAACGTAACATCTGAGGTAAATTATGTATTATAAAAAAAATCGATTTATAAAGTTTAAACGAATGTTGCAATTATTTTTAACACTTTCAGTGCTATGCGAGTTCACTTTTTTACGATAGCATCATAGTGGTGTCATGGAACGTTTTAACAAATAACGTAAGCGGAGCGGAAGGGTTAGTTTTCAAACATGAAGTATCGTATATATTTTTGTGTAAAGTGCTCTGCTATGTTGCAGAGGCAAGCGTAAAAAGCTCTTAACGTAATGCTATTATAGAACTCGATGCTTTCAATCGTTTCATGAAAGCTCAATAATTTGCGAGTAAAACGTATAAAATAGCCATGTACTTTTTATATTTGTCAATTTATTGCAAAGTGTATAGCTGCAATAAATGTATGTACAATACAAGAAATATTATAAGTAATATAAAAAGTATAATATCAACTGGATTGAGTGAAGTCTTACAGTCCCAATGTAGCTAGGAAGATAAAAGTAAAACTGATGTTTTAAAACTATTACTATACTAGCTGTCGCACACAACTCCGTCCACGCAAAATTAAAAAAAAACTTCCTAATACTTAAACCCTAATTCGTCTTTCCTGGCTACTTTCTACATCTATATCAAATTTCAGCGAGATCCCTTGTTCTTTAGATACCTTCTGACGAACATCCATCCAAACATTTGTATTTATAATATTAGTTAGTTATTGGACATTTTACAAAAAGCTCTACTTAATTATAATTGCATTCAAAATTATATTAACATGATATAAACTGATAATCATTATATTTGCATACATCAAACTCTATGATATAAATTGGCATAGACAAACATCAATCAGTCAGCTGCCGTATGATAAACATTTATTTGCTTGGATAATTCACTGTTTAGTTAATCAATCGATTTAATACACAAGTTTCTGATTAACGTATGTATGTGTTGTGTGAATATTCATTGTGTTTATTTTGTACCATATTTTTAATGTTAGTTAAAAAGAAAACCTAAGTGTCCTGCTCAGAATTTTCTACGAGCTGCAAAATTATTTAACTTAATATTTTATTGTATGTAAATTTTAATACGAAGAAAAATAGTATTTTTACACGTTGATAAATAACTTTCCGAGCCTAAGGAGAAATTCACAATCAAACAATTATAAGTATCTGGCTGTGCCCCGCGATTCCGTCCGCGCGGGATTAAAAAATAGTAGCCGATTCTTATACCTACTGAATATGCATATAAAAATTCATAAAAATCGGTCAAGCCGTTTCGGAGGACAATAGTACTAACGACATGAGAATATTATATGATATTTTACCTCTGTTTTTCTACTAGAAGGTATATAAGAAGCGACTTATGATTAAAATAATTTAATTTCAATTTATGTCGACTCTACTTACCGGATTACATAAAATTTCAGTGAAAGTTACTGACCTACAAACGTTGCGTATAAAAAAGCATTCTATCCAACTTTATCTTTATAATGTTCGTAATGTTACAAAAAGTACGTCGCAGACTCGGTCATTAGCAAACACTTTATAACGAAAAACTAACATTATTATAAAAAATTATATAACTGAAAAACTTATAGATTTGTTAATGAACGTGATCTATAAGGAAAAGTCTAGGATTTCAACTCCTAAAATCGTGTTAAATAATACCGATTTACAAGTTTACTAAGAAAAAATAAAAACAGATTAATCGATTTATAATTATTACGGATAAACTCAACAATGATAAAACCGGTTTTAAATAACATTATTTAATAAAAGCTACAGTAAGTAAATTGAGTTTTTTTGGTTTATGTATGAAATCAACGCTGCAGTATTTTATAAAGATAAACTTCTATCTATAAATATTTATAGTAGACTGGATGTTCGATTGTCATAATACCCGAGGGAGAGAAACAAACGATTCCCATCATTTACTGTATATCTATAGTCCAATATACACTTTAGGGAAAACTCACGTATCCTATTGAAGTGCATTTAATGATGCTGTTACAAATATAGGTAAAAATAACACATTTTTCTGAGTTAAATTGATTTTTATCTTACATCTTACTATCTAACTAATATTATAAATGCAAATGTTTAGATGGATGGATGTTTGTCTGAAGGTATCTCCCGAACAACCGAACGGATCTCGATGTAATTTGGCATACATATAGAACATAGTCTGGAAGAACACATAGGCTACGAATTATCTTTCTCTTAATTCCGTGCGGACGAAGTCGCGGGCGACGTTTAGTATTTTTCAAATCCCTGCGATGTACTTGTAACAAACGACTGAACCGATGCTGATTAGATGTCATTTTGTAATTTTTCCTGACTGTCACAATCAGCCGGATTTTTTTCTTTTTTATCCTACGACAGTATGCGTAGTGGCCATTGACATAATCACGAATATAAAATTGTTTACAAGACAGACATGAATTATTAATCTAGCTACTTATAAAACTTTATGTGACTGGAGTTGAGTGCGGTCAACTCGTGATGAAGTTTGTTGGTAAATTGTTAAACTTGAATTCCAACGATTGCCTTCCGAGATTAAAATACAAGAGTAACACCGCAAATACGTTCCAACTTCTTGAATTATTAATGTTCTGTTAACTCCTTGAAGATGTAGATATATATTCTTTAAGACCAGAAAACTCTTGCATTTGACAGAGAACAAGCGAATGTGAACGCGTCAAAAAAATACAATGTAATATTATATTTTCATAAAATTACAAATAAAATTACTTATTTTAAGTTTAGAACGTTACAAGAAAATGACAAAAGATTTATATGAAGATTAAGCAGGTGGTCGGTTATTTGATGAAACGTTACCAAAAAGGTTTACATATGTCTTTCAAAAAGGATTTAATATTACAAGGTGTAACATAACAATCAAAACATAATCCTTCGCACATCTGAACAGATCCGAAATTTGAACATAATCATCTTTTATAGAACCTTTTCAATGTATTTTTAATAGTATTTTCTATACAGATTAAATAGAAAATTGTTTTAACTTTCTTACCTGACTATTAACAACTACCAAGGCTAGGAATTAGAAACTCAAAGAAAATGTTCTTGAACTTTCCTTTTAAGTTCCACTGAGCTTTTATGAACGTCAAAGTTTGGAAATATAAAACCTATTCAAGTGAGAAAATATACGTTTATTATTTTAGTTTCTTTAATACATATTAGCAAAGAAATAAAGTATTTAATAATTCTTATATAGGATGTTTAAAAATTTTAAAAATATTTTAGCAGCCATACATTATATTAGTCTTCAACGCTATGCTCAATTATATATTGAATTTCTGCATCAGTTAGGTTTTTCTTTTCAAAAGGAAAGTGTGGATGTGAGTACCACTTAGCGGGTGTCCGGAGTCTGTAATTCTTATTAAAAGAAGACAATTCTTTAACTTCGTCGGTCGTGAGCGAGAAATCCAATATATCAATGTTTTGTTTTATTCGTTCCTTATTTGTGGAACGTGGAATGGCGACCATCTTGCGATCCAACTAAAACAATAAAAACATATTTTATATATTATATTAGAAATTTGATAATAGCAATCAATGCAAATTACCTAGAAATAAAATAACCTAGAAGGAACATAACCGTATAAGTTGCGGTTGCATACTTGGCCTTAGATTTCTTAATTACAATCCATTTAATAATTTTTTTCAGCACTCGGTTCGATTTAGTTTTTGATTGAAAACCTAAGTTGAAAATTAACTCCAGTTACTCACGATTAAAAGTACAAAAAAACATCGAAAAATAAGTAGTTGAAGTCTCTATTTGATATCGAATAGTTATAGTTTCAAAACTTTGATACTGTTTGTTATGCTATTAAAAAAGCGTTAGTTAAACTATGTACTACTACTATTCCTTACCAGATATCTTAATAAGATCTGCGGTACTGTCTTATTGTATTTAGCAGCAATTCTTTTTAATATAGAATGGTCGGCGCGAGGTGGCGGCGCGTCTTGCTTACGTCCTAGAATACCACCAAAAGGACTGTACGCCATCACAACAACTCCATGTTTCTGACACCAATCAACCAGCTCGTCTTGTGTTATAGTTGGATTTACCTTTCAAAAATTAAATACTATCAAACATAGACTAAGTAGTTTGAGAATACATTGGCGCGGATGGCGCGCTTTCGTTACCAAGTTAAGTGTCAGTCAGATTAGTGGGGGGACATATACATTGATAATTTAACAAGACTAGTGTTGTGCCGATACACCGGCACAGTGTCGGATTTTCTTACTAATAGTATTAAAGCGCGCTACACTTTCTGAAGTTATTTTTTACGCAGAGTTTACTGTCTCGACTAATCAATTTTCATACATTTAACCATATGCAAACCGTATTATGCACATCGTTCTTAATACAACTAATTATTAAAAAAAATCTAAATCGCATTAAAAGCTATCACTGAGCTTTCATGGTAACTATTGTTATACAGAGGAATTTGATTGTTTGCATGGTTCAAAAAAAGTCAAGCGTTTTGAAAAAAAATCACTGTTGGGAAGCTACACTACCGGGTGACATCACTAGTATGATATAGGTTACACGTGTAAAGTATAATAACACTGGGTAATTAAGCGATATACTGCGAAAAAAAGCTCTCGCACCTTAAAAATATAATAGTAATTACTAACATAGTTATAAGACATATTACTAACAATATACGGGTGTTACACTAAAACAAAGGATCTTTATTTTTTATTTTTTACGTGTATGTATGTTAAATGTTTGATATGTACATTATAATATATAAAATATGTATTATTGTATGTATGTTAGGTATGTCATATCACTTTCTTTACCTCGATTTGCAAAACAGCTGGTTTTACAACACTATTATACCAAAGGCGTTGCATCTGGCTTATGTTGAAGTTGGAAACACCAATTGACTTAGTGAGGTTTAAATTATAAGCATTTTCCATTCCTTTCCAAGTCTCCAAGTAATCGGTTAAACTTATACTTCCGTCTTTCTAAGAAAACAAAAAAAAACATTAAAATTTAAACTTATTTTTGTCGTCGCCTTAATACAAAAGAAAGAAAAACTCATAAATATAAACTCGAGTAGCAAAGTAATAATGGACTTTGTATAATGAATAGAAAAATACTCGTTAAAAGCAATCAAAGTAAATAAAAACTTTTAACAAAGAAAAAATTAACAAAAAAGAAATATTCCATTTTTGGAGCTCGCTTTCGGATTTATTTTAATTCAAAACAAATTATTGTTTTTCTCACTTTTTCAATTAAAACGACACTGCAGTAAAAAATATGTATATTTTTTATTAGCGTAATGTGAAAAGTTTTAACTGAATAAATACTTAATTAAGGATCTACAGCCGCGGATAGGCCTCGGCTTGGTCTTACAACCCTAATAACATACGAGTACTTATCATCATTAGCGTCAGCTATACTATATAGTAATATACGACCCCACTAAGAGGCTAGGGAGCCTACCCAAGTTAGGGATGACTAGGCCTTGCTGGCCCAGTGTTGGTTGGTTGACTTCACACATATCTTTGAATTTATTTGCAGATATGTTCAGGTGGTATATATCGCAAATCGAAAAACACATTGGTAGATGATGGTCCTGGGTTCGTAACCCAGGACCATGCACTCGAGTGCCCCTTGAGCCACCGACGCTCATAAATACTCATAAAACATATATTAAATAATCACCTCGTAAGCCATTGGATAATGCATGAGATATAAATCTACGTAGTTCAATTGCAGCTGCACCAATGAAGCAATTAATGCGGGTATTACTTCGTCCTTTTCATGAGCATCGTTCCATAGCTGTGTAAAACAAAACAATAATTAAATTACAAGTTAAACACAGTAAGATTAACCCGATTAGAAATGAGCAAAATGTTGCTCGCAGATTTATCACGAATGAACGACACATTGCAAAATATAGTGTAAACTGATTGAGCAATTTTATAGTAAACCATTTAATAGTCACATTTTATTAGATACATTTTTTGCCTTTCTAATTAGTCATCATGTTGGCATTGTGATGTGATAATAGTAATACGATCCATCAAAATACCAGATGTGGAACTTATAATAATATGTTATTAAATTCATGCCCAATTTGATAAGGCGTATAATAGCTTGATGTCAAAATCAGTCAATATAAACCGGCTTAAATATCATAAAGATGCGAGTTCGAGAAATGTGACAGACAGCAAACGGGAGCAGCAGGCGGCAACGGCATATGTCGCGACGGCAGATAGCATTACTTTGCAGATTTTTGCGTATGATACTGCTTCCAATATATGACCGCAATTGCTGTACGATAGGAGACGAAAAACTGCATGCCTGACCGCACAATAAGAACATGTCATATGCTGATGTGCTTTTTTAACAGATAATATTTGTAACTAGTACCTACTTTAGTAGTAATGTAAATATCCTCTCTGTTGGTATGTGTGTCCTTTAGATAGTTATGTAATCCCAAACCGACTTCATCTTCGACTCGGTACAGCGTGGCTGTGTCGATGTGCCTATAGCCAGCCTCAAGCGCCCACTGCACCGCGCGGGCCAGGGAATGGTTCACAGGTAGGACTCGGGTACCCTACGGGCAACAAGTGTAAACTTTATTAATAGTGTGCTTTTGTATTTTATATCCCTTTTCTTCTTTATCTTTAATCCTTACTTTAAAATTATCTGTTGTTCAAATGTTAATTCGTTTTTTTTTAATAAAATATAACGAATAATTAACTAAAATATGTTATCAAAAGGAGTCCCTTTAGGTACGGTTCCGAAGATACTGACAGCGTTCCCCCTTTGAATAGGTAAACTAGTTCTTTGTTCCAGGTTGCTGCCAGCTCTTCTGTGATGTCGATTTTTAAATTGATTCATAATATAATAGTCTACACTTCGGGGCGTCTTTTAAAATTTTGGAATAGTTGTTAGTAAAAGACAAAGATAAAAAATGCATAAGCTAACGCAACGAGTTTGCTACGTGTATAGAATTCATATCAAGGAAATACCTCAACACATCAAGATAGTATTGAACATACTTACATCAGAAAGGTGACCCAAGCTAGTGCCTAAAGCGACGGCTGGAATCTGGTTGCCATCATTAAGGGTGAATGTCAACGTCGCTAGAACCTGTTACACGAGAGTATATTGTACTAACATGAGCACGAATCTTAAGTAATATACCAATTATTGTTATAGAAACAAAGTCTGGTTATCAAATACATAATAAAGACAAATATATGGAATAAATTGTATTAAATGAGAAATTTATTTGTAATAAAGACGAATTATATAAATTACATAAGTTGAAGTAAATTTTAAATGCAGATTAACCTCGAACTATTCAAAATTTAGTCTGTACCACGTTTGTTATATGTAAAAGCGGGATAACATACCCTGGCGCAGTTTAGACAAGCAAACAGTAGTGTGTACACAAGCCGAGCGCCGTCCATGCCGCTAGATAATCTACGTACAACTAACTCGCTGTTAACCGCACGTTAGTTATAAGCTTATCTATGTGTTCTGTGCCTCAGCCAATTATTAATACCAAACAGATATATAATATGATATATTACGATTAAATTTCAACCAAACATCTGTTTACATTTGAAGTTTGAAATCGGCACTTTTAAATAAATAAGTTACATTTATTGCAAATTGACAATCAATTGTTTTATATATCTATTTTTTGTCTCGCTTTTTTATCTTTCTATTATGGTCTGAAAAAACCGTTTAATCTCTGTTCTTTTGTTTAGTATAATTGTGAAATGTTAATAACGTCTGTATTTGGTAATTTGCTGATGTTATAAATTAATAAGCGCCCAGTAAGTACACCTAAACCCTGTGGGTTTTTAGTACTGCTGGCTAATCGATATTTAATTTGTTATGTAAAGTTTTTATATAATAAAAAAAACATAATTTGAATAAAGTAAATAAATACACGCATAAAATATTTATTATTAAATGTATTCCACGAATTAAATTGTATTAGAAATATATCTCAATTCACATTGTATGAGTGAACTCCATAAGATAGGATTAGTTTCATCACAATTCTTTACAAAACCTAACTCATGCGTAATCGGGACGTATTGCTAGCTACACATTTAAACTGGATGTACTCGCGCCACTTTCCGCGTGGATTTAAAATAAAACATTATTAGTAGTGTATGTGTTCTTCCAGATTTTGTACCACGTGTCTAAATATCAGCGAAATCCATACAGCCATTCTGGAGATATCTTCTAGCAAACATATATATTTTTTAAGCATTTATAATAATTAGTAACATTAGAAATTATTGTAACAGTCTTTTAGTAATTTAAACTGTCCGCATCTAAGTGTGGACGATTTATGGGTTGATTTGTTTTTTTCCTTTTTGATTTATAAACATAAAAATAAGATTACAATTTGGAGCATTTAAAATGAAATATTTTCCAAAGTTAACAAGGTTTTGAAAATTATTTCAATATAATATTTATTCAAGTTAAGAACAACGCCATCTTACCAAAACTTCCAACCGCAGTTCTAATTATACGCACACGTTACTCCATTTACTTTAAAATATCTGTACTACAATGAAACACGTAAGAAATTCAGTTGTATTTTATTGTACAAAAAAAAACAGATCCAACTTTCTCACTAACATAACAATTTCTCCTCGAATTAAATATAACCCCACGTCTCTAAAATAGACATCACAGATAAAAATATAGACACAAAAAATATCATTTGCCACTAAATTTTGTTACATCGAAATTCATTCATAATTTTAAGTCTTAATTACACCAGCAGATATTTTTCGGAGGCGAATGTTCAAATACAATGTATAATCAAAACTAAAACTTAATTTATTTGTTCTGCATTTCTGTTTAAATAAGCGTCATAACAATACAACCGTTTAAGATAAGGCCATGTACACACCAAATGTATTATCAATCGCTTACGTAATTTAAAATAATGTTTGAACCTATAATCACATTGCATTTAAGTGACTATGCAAGGCGTAGTAGCGTACAGTAGCAGCGTTAGGGTAGGACGGGGTGGGGCAACCGCCAAAGGCGCTGGACATAAGAGAGCGTCGAAAGTGCCATAGTCGGTATAAAGAGGCGCTTACGGAACCCCTTAAGTTAATCTTTGGAAGGTTTTCTCCGACACCCAAAAAGGTGCGCCGCAAAAATCTCGCTGAGGGCGCCGTAACTGCTAAATCCGGACCTGGTGGAGTATTTTCGGTTAGTGCGAACAAAACTTGTATTGGTTTTTTTTCTTAATCTAGTTTTGTTCGTTTCTCTCACAGTCGGTGGCTGATAACACCTTTGGTTTGAACACAGCCTAAGCAGTTTTACGTAAAACAAATGCATACATTAATACATGTAACAATAACTTTTAAAATACATTAATACTTAAAATTACTTCTAGGAACCGAGTAGTTAGCTAGACGATAACAAAAATAAAAACCAAATTGTTTTAATTCCAAACATAAAAAAATGTTCTTTGACGAAAAACTTTTGTATTCCCGTATGCATTTATAAACAACACAGTTTATGATATGTGTCAGAATAACACTAATGCGCGATATAATTTCTTTAAAAAAAATGTGTCAGTTAATAAAAAAAAATAGTTTTTGTAGAATATAACTGAGACTTGTATGCATAAAACTAAATTTATAAACTTTACGTCATAAAACTTACCAGTAAATTACATTCGGAACCTGTAAAATTACTGATTTTATTTTCCTTATGTTAACAAAATTTGTAAATAAACGTTACTTATTTACTATAAGAAAACCATTTATGTAATTTTTCAAAATATACAAAACAATTGATATAAAATTCAAAGAAATATAAACGTTAAAAATAATTATAACAGTGTAAACTAGACTTGGTTTGAAAGTTCATAAAAGGATAAGTTTAATGTGAAAATACAATAACGAATAATGGATATGTACATATTAATTTTAATTATACTAAAGATACATTTACATCATGAAATTGAATACGGACTCGACAACATCTAAACAATAGCAATAGCTTTGTGTACTTATTGTAGATAGTTTATTTACAAAAAACAATTGTAATATTTACAATACATAAATTGAATATCATATTTCGTATTTTATAAAGATTTGTTGACAAACTGGAAATATATTAAATAAAAATCTCTATAATCGCATTAAGATTATTTTAAGTTTATGGTTATAAATTGTAAAAGGTATAAACTAAACTAATTAAAAATGGCTAAACTTACGTATAAACTTACGTATAGATAAACCAGTGACAGCACTGTATTATAGCTATTGTATAGCCGTTTTTAATTAGTTTATAATGTCTCAAGAAATTTCAAATAATTGATTTGATTAATGAACAAAAATTTGAAACAATGGCGTATTTATAGTATTTAGTGCGTTCTTTTGGACTGTTATTATTTTCTGGACTATATGACTAACGTTCCTTATTTAGAAAGTAGATTAAATATGATTTAGATATCTGAAATTATTTATAAATTATCTTTTAAGTAAATTTGATTATATTAACATATTAAAGTCATATATATTTTTATTTTAAGTAATACTGTTAACGCTATAAGCGTTTTTGAGCAACATATTGTGAATGGCTTTAATTTATCCACATTGAATACTGACCATTTACGTATATAATAATTAAAAATACTAAAGGGTTGATAATAAAATAAATGATATCCCCGACTGTAAAAAATACGAATTTTGACACTTCTTTAATCAAAGTAGGTTCTGCCGTTTAGGCATACTTATACATCAATAATAAATATAAGGGCGCAAGTTCATTAGTCGTTAACTTGGACTGTGTAACGCAAGCGTCCTGGTGAAGGGAATTAGTAGACGATTATAATGCGCGGTAAAGAATATTACACAGAGCATGCGGGCCCTAACAACTAATAAAACCACTGCTCGCATTTAGGGCCCTACATGAGTGAACAGAAATCACTCGCATTACTCTAAATACTCGTACTCTGCCTTTCAGCGCAAATGCTGTGTTCCCAGTAGGCAAATTATTAGCAGCCGATTGAGTGAGCCACAAATTTTCGGGTCCTGGAACCGGTTGTGCTGTGAGTTAGGGCACGTCACGCTGAAAATCAGCGCAAATCTAGCAAACTGTGGACACTTCATTTCAAATATATGTGTTTACTAAACCGATACCCCGCTAAAAGTTTGCCTACTAGGAATACATACTAAAGACTAATGATATTGCGCCTTTATTATATTGTCAGTCGGGCAAAATTTTTATATGTTTCGAACAAATAGCTTTCAAATGGCACTGATACTAAGTGGTCCTCTTATTATTATGCGATGCGGATGACTATAACATATCTTTGAAATATTGGGGCAAATATTAAATGAAGAAAAGTATGCCGATATCAAAAGTATGACATTAGAATGTAAAATCTTATTTTGATACAGTTTCATGAAAAGAAAATAGACATGAAACTTTTTAAAGAGTGAATTATGGCACTACGTTTGGTAATTTAGAATTTGTATGTTTTTTAAACTTATAAAATAAATTATTTACTTATATTGAGCCTCGGTGGCTCAGTGGTCAAGCACTTGACTTGCAATCTGCAGGTCCTGGGTTTGATTCCCGCCATGTACCAATGTGTTTTTCGATTTCCGATTTACATATGTACATTTATCCGACGTTCTTACGGTGAAGGACATCGTGATGCAACCTGCACATATCTGAGAAGTAATTCAAATATATATGTGAAGTGAACCAACCAGCACTTGGCCAGCGTGGTTGACTATGGCCTAATCACCCTTAACTTAGGGTAAGCTCCGAGCCCCTCGGTAGGGACGTATAGTGAGCTGATAATGATGATGATTGTTACTTATTTTGCTAGGATTTTTTTATTAAATTGTTATTTATGCCAAAAAGTTAAGATGTTCGATAATCTAGTTTAGTCTAGGAAGCTAAATTACACGTATATGTATATGTTTGTAGTATGCATAGATACAATTTAATTAAATATTATGATCCTAACTATAAAAAACTCAGACAATGTTTCAATTACATTTTAACTTAAACATATATCAACCCTTTTATCGAACGCTGGTATCAGATATTACAAGAAATCATATGATTGTATGTGGATTTCCGAAATGTGATCTTGACTAAAAGAAAAACAACAAAAAACATCGATAATATTAATCACCGGCGATTAAATGGTTAAACCACGTTGTCAAACAATATCTAACTGTATCTTTTGTAAGAAAGTAAAACATAGCAATAGAATAGTTATAAATGCCATTATACGAATAATTTCTACATACTGACTTCAGATTTTATTTCTCAGTTTTGCATCTGATGCACACACATAAAATGGTTTATGCTATTATAAATTAACAATAGTGACAGTTATTGAAGTAAATTTTTTGTACACGATATAAAGAGCTTTCATTTAGTAATATTTGGATTGGACTTTGTATTATATATAACATAACTATATATTATACATAAATTTAAATGCAGGTTTAATACTTATAATTACTTACGACTATAGATATTCAATATTGTCACGACAGGACGCTACCAAAAAAGCTTGCAAGATTCGAAAAACATGTTCATTTTTCGAAAAAAATCGAAAAAAAATCAATTTAATTAGTAACTATTTTATGAAATTTCTCTGGTAACAATTAACGCAATAATATTCAATTTCTACAGTCGTATTTTAATAGCTATGATATAATGGGACCATTTGTAAATGTACTTGTAAATTTGTACAATCAGGGAAATGCGTCGACAAACGGTTTACGTGGGACACGTTTTTAAATATGTATCCTTTTCAGCGTTGACACGCTTGAGGAGGTCGTCCGCCCAACGGTGTGCGGTGCGGTCCACTGTCGAAGGCACCGTCAGGCATTGCTGACCACCGTACTCGCATGCCATCTGTTACATGAATTATATTAGTACAATTTATCATTATTTTAATGTATAATTAATACGATACAACTTACTTCAAAAAGACCTTGTTTTAAAAAGAAATATAAGAACAGACTGTATCTATAGTACCTCGTTTGGTAGCGAAGTTTCTATGAAATTTGATGTTAGAGTTGTGTTCTAATGACGCTGCTACTGTTTCTTTGGCAGTTTTAATAAACGTATCGCAAATAAGTTTCTTATTTTTTGATTAAAGTTAGAATTGAGGCTTTTAATTATTAACGAGAAATGTAGATAGTCATACAAAAAGTTTAGGTATATACCCGATAATGATGCAGCAAGGCTCGGTCAGTCGGCACCCCGACGGAGCTGGCGCCGGGCGCGAGCTCCCATACGAAGTGGTTGCCGAGCTCAACGGCGTCGCGCGGCCGCAGTGCGTACTTGCTGCGGTTCTTGACCGCGTGCGGCGCCGCCCACCGACGCGTCTTCCGTGACGTCAACAAAGGCGCCGGAGCTTCGGCGTCGTCCTGTGAGTTAATTCACATTACAAAATAATAAGCGGCAAGACACAACATTTTTACAAAATATCCGATAGTCACACACAGACCGATAAAGAATGTTCGCTGGCGATAAATGATAATTTTATTTAAATGCCGGATCAGATTACGGTTGTGAAATTTATGACATTTCTTTTATTTGAACATGTTATGATTTTACGAACCTCCCAACCCAAGTAGAAGAAGGCGTTTCTAAACAGGAAGGCGGAGGGCGCCTTGGATGGGGGGTTGTATGCGGCGCGCAGGGCGGTAAGCAGCGCGGACAACGTGCGCTCGCGCCGCGGCAACACCACCTCGTCCACATCGATGACTAGCAGCCAGCCCGCAGCAGACATTGACCGGTACAAGCAATCGTTAAAGGCCGCGAACTGACCCTCCGTCCTGAAAATATTAATTTGATACCTCAGTTTATTTTTTTAATCTTGACTAAATGTGCTTTTATATATTAACTGTATTATTTTACAAGGCGCAACGGAACAACATAAATGCAATGTAATTACAACATACCTTATTTCAACTTTGGATACAATGGGCAGCTTCCATGGCAGCAGCGTGACCAGACCCTGCTTGCGATAGTGCTCTATGAGGCAGGTGACTGGCGCGCTTAGGGACTCGTTGTACATATAGAAGTGGCTGACGCCCAGCAGACGGTTCAGCTCAAACCACTCCAGCAGCCAGTCAGAGCGCGCGTACGAGAAGTGAAACGGCTTCACGCACACGTGTAGAGTTTCCTAATGAAATTCGCAAAATCAAGTGATAATTTAAAAAGTCAAATTAAAAAAATGGTAACAGAACTAAGGAATTCAAAATTATTTAATTGGTTTCTAAACATTCCCTTGACGTATATTTTTCATACTAAACATACACTTTGTGATGTCCGGAACAATAATTAGCGATTTTGAGCTTAACAATTATACTTGTTTCCTTCTCAGAGTTGCGGAGAATTGACACAAATACAAATAAACTGCAGTTCCAGCTCCTCCATCCTTCAATTGTAAGCTTACCTCGTTACCCTTCCTGGGATTGGTGTCGAGTACAATGAGCTGGTTGGTGGGCGGGCGGTGCTGCGCCGTGCTGGCCAGTACGGACAACGACGCGCCGACCGTCTCCTGAGGCTTCACGCCCGTCTCGCGCAGCAGACACAGCACATACGTCGCACTGTACTTCAAGTTCCAATTCTCTCGGATAGGCTGAAACGATGAAGAATATAAATTTATATTTGCTTGATAACTTTCTACAATGAAAGAATAAAATTCGGTTCCCACTAAGGATCTAATATCGTGCAGCCAACTGTCACCATAAGAGCTTTAATTTATATCAAAGGTTCTAATAATAAGTTTATGATGTAATTACATTTTGAGCGTCAAATAACACACAAATGGGTGGAAAATAAATGGCCTCAACCGTAAATAAAAGTCCATATTCCAAAGTAAATTTACACTAAAATTCACAGCGACTGTACTCGGATAATGTTTACTGTGATGAAAGATGCTATAAAATCCTTGCGGCTTCAACAAACTCACTTCTACTCTAAAACTTTGTTCGTTCTGTTTAAATGTAGAATCATAAAATTTTAATAGAACATTAGAGAAGACAAAATATTTAAAATTTCAATGAATTTTTAACTTATTGTAAAATATAATATTATAATAAGCACATTCACAAGAATAAGAAAATATTTATCCATTCTAATCAAATGATAAGTTTATACTTTCAGATGGAAGGATTAAATTTTGAAATACGACAATACATTTCTGATATGATGACAACGAGAGAATTATGCTCAGTACTAAAATTTCACATTAAATCTTCTCCGTACCTTAACTCTGGCCTTCAAAGTGAGTGTTCTGTTGTCCGGCAACCACATACGGCAGATAACCGAATCGGCACCTCGAGTTCGCGTAGCCGCAATCACTCGCACAGCAGCCAGCGTTCGTCTCTCTACGTACGCTGAATACACGTAGAATCTAAACCTGAAACAATTTGTAACAACGCTGTCAGTATCATACATTCTAAATGTAATTCGGTTTCATACATTCTTGAGTGTATAGCTTTCAACATTCGTGTGAATTCCAGACTTAAAATGCTTATCAACGCAGAGAGATTTCTCCTTCTCAGACATAATTAAAATAAATGTAGTTCTCGTGGTAATTTGGGACACAATGGGACAAAAAATATATTTAAATATTTGTTACGTCAAGTGTTTCGTATTGGAAATTGTTAAATATTAAACATTATATATATGATTTAGTAATTTCCGAGGTATTCAGGCTCCCGTAACATACAATTTTACGCTTAGATTAATCAATTTCACAGTTTGTGCACATCCACGGGTGAATATGAAACATCTCGGAAAAGTCTTGGTTGTAGCAATTTGTTACAGAAAATATGTAATGCAACAAAGCTAAGATATTTTTTATTTATTTATAAAATTAGATAATACTAAATAATTGAAACTTTCTTGTGACATTATACTAAAATGATATATAAAAATGACTAAACACTCACGTATATTCGTCCGGTGGCGGCACCGACTAGTTTCGAGCCCATCGGGGGCCATTCATCAGGATGAGTGGTACTGGTATTATTTCGCGGACGCGGCCCGTCGCTCACTACACGGTGAGTCGGTGCCGCCACCGGACGAATATACGTGAGTGTTTAGCCGTGTTTATATATGAGATTAGATAATACTATTTAAAAACCAATTTTTAAATTGTATAAACAATGCAACGAATAAAAATAAAATAGTCCAGCATTTAACTGTAACACAAACAAACTTGACTAACGATACAGCCAGACTATAAAAAAACAGGTCGTTTAAGCAAAAACGGTGTCGTATTTAGATACAAAAACTCGGATGGACTTTGAAAAAACAAGCTTAACATTAACATTAAGCTTTTCTCAAACTGAAAGTTTAAGCACAGTTTATGTATTAAGATAGATTTATTATTATTGAATTTACGGAATTCTTAAAATATCTTTGAAAATATATCATTTAACCTACAAAATATAAAATCAAAATATACGTAATTTAAATAATTTACAAGCTGCAAATATATTCACAAGAAATTAACCGTTAAACGCAACATTACATTTCAAAACATCTCATAATCCAGAAATTAAATTTAAAAGCACCTGTGTAATCTCTGTCTAATCCTAACAAGACGATAAATTTTTCCATTTTCCTTCCAGAAAGAAATAAACCAAAAAAGCTTTTTCCGAGACCTTGATTAAATTTCCACGAACCCGTACCGCCTTGCTAGCGACTATGCGTGTGTTTTGTTTTAAAAAATGTTACAAGGTAGTTTTATACACTTTAGGTAATACAAGACAAGGCATATGGCACCATTTCTACTTAATGTCAACTTGTCAACAACATTAACTTACTCACCATTATTAACTACCACTAAGATGTCCCTTATTGTGTCTGTCCTACTTTAATATGAGTCAACTGTTTTAAGAAAAGTAAGTTCAAGAGTTTAAAATATTTACATCATTTACTAACAAGACTTTTTCAAAAACATATCAGAGCCAGTCTCTCCTAAACAATAAGTAAACCATAAACAATCGAGTCAGTCCCAATCCGCAAAAAAAGTGGCCATGAATAAGAGATTGAATTGAATTGAAGAATAAAAAAAGTTATTGTAAACACTGTCTACTATCCATTTATAATACAATACAGTTTACGAATCACCGGCGAAAATTAAATCGAATTACATTTTTAAATAAAATTTTAATACTGAAATTGAAAATGAAGCTCATCACGAGTAAATACGACGGCATTTATAATTTTACTCGAAATGACGTTATCTTTTAATCAAATCGAGGCTGTCATAATTAATTCCATTACAGTCAAGAACATTGTCCATTTTACAATTAATGAATTTTCTTTTTTTATTCCTAACTCGCTGTGGACCGCAACTCCGTCCGCGCGTAATTAAAAAAAAACATGATCAATTCCCGGCAATTATTCGAATTTTTCTCACCTTTTTAACCTTCCCTAAACCTCCACGAACATTTCAAGACCAAGGTAAGACAAATCTATTCAGCCGTTCTCGAGTTTAAGCGAGACTAACGAACAGTAATTGATTTTTAAATATATAGATTTAAAGAGTTTTTTTACAGTCATTTCATGCTTAGGCCTTTGGCTCGCGCTAAAGTATTTTTTCTCTTTCATATCAGGAAATAGACCACGTTTATTAATAAAAGTGAAATCAAAAGACACACAAAACATTTATTAGAAAATCTTTACAAAGAAAACTCGTCGTTTGACTGGTTTTTCAAATTAAAACTCTCAGAAGTTCTTTGTTTCGAACTGGTCTTTGTTTTGGATCATTTTCGTTCTTTGTGTACGCAGCTACCGTTTACATTTTTTTATTCATCTTCTTTATAACTTCGACTGCTGAAAAGTAATATATTCTTTTTGAAGTCTATAATTTTTCTTACTGTGCATACCAATACCAATTATCTTATCAATAGATATGATATTTTTAAATCAGAAAAATTACATATGAAATAAATAAAAATCTCGATGAAATGGTGGCCCAGGATCACGGACTTTTGTTAAGCTATAAATATCGATACAAAAACTTACTATCTGTTACATTCTTCCATGAACTTGTCAGCAGTGAAAATATACACTTCATAAAAAAAAGCTTATGTTAACTTCAAACAGTTTTATTAACTTTCAAACAAATCAACGCTTACTATCGCAGAGTTGGAATTTTTCACTGAATTGCAGATCAAATGAAGCATAAATTTCTGCACAGAAATATTTATTCGAAAACTTTAAAAATGCGAACACATTTAAATTGTTCCATTTAGTTTTCCACTCGGCAGCAAATAGTTATGACGTCATGATTGACGTAGAGATTTATTAAAAAATATCACGAGTTATTTTATGATCCATTTTTTCCATGATTATTAGAAAAGGCGGCAAACAAGCTGCGAGATCACCAAGATGATCAACCACACCGATAGACATCTGCAACATCAGAGAAACTGGGGACGGGTTGCCGGCATTTAAGGAAATGGTATGTTCGCTTCTTGAAGGACCCAAGTCGTATTGGTATGGAAATACCGCCGAGGGCCGTTCCACCGTTCCACAGTGCGACAGGAAATTGCGCGAGAATTATATCGTACTATATTACCTAAGAAAATTTGAATAAAATTATAACATGTTAAACTATTCGAACGTTAAACTAGTCTAATTCTGAAACTCGTTAACGGATATTGATCCTATTTCCACTTTAATTTTCCATCAAAATCAACAGCTATGTAATATCCCTGTACATTTCTTACATGAATATTGAACAATTTCACGGTTTGTGCACAATCAGGAACGGATATGAAGCCTCTTAGTCCCCACTGATTCGCGATACTCTACAGGAAATGGAAAGTCGAATGACATCGACAAGCGACTGAGCTGTCGCATATTTATCTACGCTTCTAGAAAAAATTGCTAGCGATTTTTTATTGTTATTTGTGTTATCAAAAATACAATGTGTTGGATAACTCTTACATATCCTTTTTCACACAATCCATCCATATTTCTTTGGTTCATCCTCCTCTAGACACGAATCTATTTTTTTAACCAATTTATTCTAAGAACATATAACATTTTAATATAATGTAAGCTTGATATTGAATTGGAAATATATATTCTCGACAAATAACAGGAACCTTTTATTTTGAAGCAATTTTATCATGGAGAAGTGTAGCTCCAACTTTACAACACAAACACAATAGACAGTTTCAAAATTAGAAGAATTACAACAGGTAACTTTGCTCTCGACAAATTTCATTAAAGACTAAAACTTACATCAGTTGTCCATTTGTGCATTAGTCACAGAAGTTTAGTTGCTAAAGTTAGTAAATATTAGTCAGTTAACTGAAGTTGTAAGAAACAAAAAAAAGTGTAAATTGTTATAAAATTGATTAAAAAGTGATTGAAATATCGTGTAAAAGTCATTGAAGTCTCACTGACTTAAAAAAAATATTTCAGACTATTTCTTATTCCAGTATCTTTGAATACAAATAACATTTTTATATGCAAGCGCTTTGTGTATAAAAGATAACTGATATTACGCACAGCGTGTAATAATGCACGGTAAAGTTTTAGTACAAAGGTTTCGCAACACATTTACAGCTCGACTTTGGTGCGCAATAACGCAGCATAAAACAAATAAAGCGACGTAATGCACATTACAACAGGCGCTTCAAGCGGTAAAGCTGTGACGTAGGAAATATATAGAGCCGCCTATGAAATGCCAACAATATCTTAAAATTCAGCTATAAAACTTGATAACACCAAAATAATTGAATGTTAACATTCCATTAATTTTCACAGAAATCTTTATTTATCTATCGAATTCATGGTTACTTAAACATACTTAACCTAATATGACTGAATTTCCTTGTGACTTTTAAATAAATTTATTACTTATATATACAATGAAAATACTGATATTAAGCATTTGATAATATTTATATCTTTATAGGAGATGATTTGATTTTTATCACAAAATATAACCGAATATCCAACTTAAACGATAAAATAAATCGCGATAACTAAAATGGCACGTATCAGTATCGGTCGTGTGAAGCTTTACCCTTTCCACGTCGGTGATTTTCAAAGCGTTTGAGTTTAGTGGTAGCACATCTTGTTGCTTTCGGTTATCGAGTAGTGTGCGATTGGAGGTGATTGGAAATATTATATATAGGACCTTTTCTCTTTAATCAAATTATAATTCACTTTTTAAAACTTCTTCGCGAGTAAATCTTATTAACATTATAAATGCGAATGTTTAGATAGATGGATGTATGGATGTTTGTTTGAAGGTATCTTCGGAACGGCTGAACGGATCTTGATGAAATTTGGAATACATATAGAACATATTCTGGAAAAACAACTTTTAAGGTGTCGTAACTAATTATGATTCGCGCAGACGGAATCGCGGGCGACAGCTAGTAG